AGTATGTGTATGTATGAATGTGAGTTAGGGACCTTAGATTGTACACCCCTTGAGGGTTAGGGACTGATGTGAATGTACAATATATGTAAAGCACTGTGTAAATTGACGGCGATATATAAGTACCTGAAATAAATAATAAACACATCCCTCTTTCTCCAAAACTAGATTTTTCAGTCTTGGGTGAAGTATTAAAAAATACCATAGTTTCCTCCCCCCCCCCCCCCCCCCCCTGCTGTCTGTGTAACAATGGGGAGATTATACCCTTCTATGACGAAAACAGGAAATGGAGACTCTCCCCAGTGAGGACACCAGCAAAAACAAAGTGGTCAGACATGAAATATGAACAAAGCATATCCTTCTATAGTATTTGTCTCAGTCTAGAACACAAAGTGTCATTTCTGGCTCCTACTTCATTCCTGTTATAATCTACTGCCAGATTTTCATGACACTAAAAAAAGGTGACAGGGGAGGGAGCTCCAGCACATAACCTGTGATTACAGCCTCAGCTCTGTTCCTGTGATTTGTCTTGAGGGGGGGGGGGGGGGGGGGGTGCATCTCTTTCCTCCAATAAGCTCTCAGAGTTCTCCTCACTTATGGGTGGCACAGTGGTTAGCACTTCCGCCTGGCAGTACTCAGGTCGTTGGTTCAAATCCCAACCACAGCACCACCTGCCTGGAGTTTGCAGTCTACCAATCATTAGCCGTCAGTGCTGCATTTGTTTTGAGGCTTTTTTTTTTTTGGTCAGCTGGTGATCCAGCCATTAAGTTTGGTTTTCCAACAGAACAAACTCTACTGCAAATTTAGCAGAGTTGAGACAAACCATGTACCGCGGACAATGCTTGTGATTGCTGTAACTGCAGTGTGAGCTGCAGTTAAGCTTCAAATTTTGTTAGTACATCTGACAGACAATGATGCTCTCCAAAAGGTGCCCATTGTGCTTCTTCCCCCAGAATGGGGGCACTCCTAGTATAGGTGGTGTGTTACTGGTCAGATCACCAGGTGAAAAACCACACAGCCACCACATCTAATTGGTAAGCTGCAATATTTAAATGTTTGGTTCTGGATTTAATGCATCACCGTGTATAATACAAGGGGGGGGGGGGGGGGGGATGTGACCACCATGTATAATACATAAGGGGGGGGTATGATCTCCATGTATAATACATAAGGGGGGGGGGGGGATGTGACCACCATGTATAATACATAAGGGGGGGGGGGATGTGACCACCATGTATAATACATAAGGGGGGGGATGTGACCACCATGTATAATACATAAGGGGGGGGATGTGACCACCATGTATAATACATAAGGGGGGGGGGATGTGACCACCATGTATAATACATAAGGGGGGGGATGTGACCACCATGTATAATACATAAGGGGGGGGGATGTGACCACCATGTATAATACATAAGGGGGGGGGATGTGACCACCATGTATAATACATAAGGGGGGGGGATGTGACCACCATGTATAATACATAAGGGGGGGGGGGATGTGACCACCATGTATAATACATAAGGGGGGGGGGATGTGACCACCATGTATAATACATAGGGGGGGGGGATGTGACCACCATGTATAATACATAAGGGGGGGGGGGGGATGTGACCACCATGTATAATACATAAGGGGGGGGGATGTGACCACCATGTATAATACATAAGGGGGGGGATATGATCTCCATGTATAATACATAAGGGGGGGGATATGATCTCCATGTATAATACATAAGGGGGGATATGATCACCATGTTTAAAAAAAAACCCCCCATAAAACTAAACACAGAAAAGCCAAACCAAACTCTGAACGAATTTAAATCACTTTCATGGGTAATACAGTCACATAAAGCCAAACATGTTTTGAGGGTCAAATGACTCCTTGATCAGGGTTTAGGACATCAGCTGACCTGTAGGACACTACAAATTCAAGGCGGTCAGTGAAATTCTGCTGTTAAATGGAGGTAGTGACCCAAAAACACATTCACTGTTTTACATGATCAGGATTATGATCCAATAAAAAAAAAAAAAAAAAAAAAAAAAACACCCACACACAGGGGTGAACCAACTCCAAATATCCCAGCAAACCATCCAGACCCTACAGCACATGGTAGCCATGATGCCAGTGTAGCAGTCTGTACCCCATAATACACAACCCCCGCAGAGTATCCATTATAACGCTCACTCATTTAGTCAGTAGCAACCACATGACCAACGAGAAGCTATCCTTTCATATGTGACTTTACCGCAAGAAGCTTCAGATGCCTCTGATTGGTCAGCACTGATCAACAGCTGCTTGCCCTTGTGAGTATTTTTATGGATACCCACTCCAGGGCTGTGTAATGTGGTGTATGGATCACTACAGCAGCATCACAGCCACCAAGTGCCCCAGAGTTCAGAGGGGTGATCAGTACATTTGGAGTCAGTTAACATTTTAATTTTTTGTGAAAATAATTTTTGGCCTCTTTCACCATTTACCTTTGGCTCCCCTGATGTATTTTGAGCCACATTCTGGCTACTCACTGGACGGAAGTCTCTTCATGAGAGACTTCACCAGAACCAGCGAGATTGTTCCTTCAAAGGAAAATGCAACCATTTGGCAAATGTTGAAGTACCAGCACCTTTTGGCCATGTCTTTTTGAGCACTAAAAGCTTGACAAGGTTCCATCCAAACACATGGATTTTTCCTTTACATTTATTTCATCCAGTTGAATCCACTAAATACATTCCAGGTGTGCAAGTTAGTTTTCTTTGGAAACAGCCACAGCCTGAGTAGAAAAGCCTGCCCTCTGCCAGCATGGTGCTGACAAGAACCCTTGCTGTCTGGAAGCAGTGGTCTGCCTGCAGAGACCACTGCTTCCATGAAGAGCAAGGGTCCTTTGCTGTAGCATGCTGGCAGGAGACAGGTTTTTCTACTCAAGGTGTAGCTGCTTTCTAAAGAAAAAGCAGTAGAGATGTGTTTGTAGGATACCCAAGCTCATTTCTAACAATCCTGGAGCTCCCCTTTAATCACTTGCTGACCACCAACGGTACATTTACTGCTGGCAGACTGCTCCCCCAGGTACCACGATGTACATGTATGTCACAGTGCACATGGAATACTTTGAGGTGGATTGGTGCAGGGTGACTGTTGTAAAGGACAGCAATAGTGTTGAAGTCCACTGGTGTATCCAATAGATCCTGTACTGGGGCACCAGTTTCCATCAAAGGCAGGCCTGCTTAGACTGCACATGCCCCTTGGGGCACACAGCAGCACAAACTACAAACGCTGTGTCCACCAGACAGCAGATTGCAGTGCTTGGTATCAGCCTGCTGTAAGGGCCCAGGTATCACACAATTGCTATGCAGAAAATGTCACATGAACAATCATGTCATGAATGCCTTCCTTACTGTGTGATCTGATTGCTCATCAGTGATCACATGGTACCAGGGTGCTGTGATTGGCCCAGGTACAATGTAATAGTTTCCAGGACAATCACAATAGTAAACAATGAAAGCCATTCATGACAGCTCAAGCATTTTTCGCTAGTAAAATAAAAAATCCCTGAAACCCCCCCAGCCAGAGTAGCACTGTGTCACTACTTCAAGAAGATTGTTGAAGTATTAGTGCAGTGCTAATACTTTAACATTTTAATTTGGGGCTGTTGCCAATACCCTGAGTGCCAACTGCTATTCCAAGACTTGTATTTACATCATTTTAGGGTTTTATAATAACTTACCAGCGCTCACTTTCTTTACTCATTTTAAACTTTAAGATTGATTCCCCCCCCCCCCCCTTAAACATGTTGCCACTAGTCATGATTATACGGTTCTGCACTGGTGACAGTATGTTTAAAAAAAAAAAAAAAAAAAAAAAAAGTGTGTGGGGGGGCCTTAAGAAATGAGATCAGCCATCAATGCATCAGGAATGGTCAATTTTCAGGTATGCATCCCATAGTTTGCAGACACTAATAATTTCCTACATACTAAATATACAGCGATTTGGGTTCTCTTTACCAAAGAAATGCAGCAGAATACATTTTGGCCTAAAATTTATGATGAAAGATTTACCAGATTTTATAAAAAAAAATAAAAATTTCACTTGGGTACAGTGTTGCATGACCACACAATTGCCAATTTAAGTAGTGTAGTGCTTAATAGCAAAAAAAAAAAAAAATAAATAATGCCCAGGTCATGAAGGGGGCAAAACATTCCATAGGTCAAGCAGTTAAGAAATAAATCAAAAACCAGAAGGGAACATGAAATGTGAGATTAGTTCATTTTATTATTTTCTAGAAGGAAAACAAACGTGATCTGACGCTCAGTGTAAGACTTGTGTGTGGGGCTCAGAGACAGAACAGAACCGTAACAGAGAAGGAAAACCAAGAACGGGGGACAGAAGGCCGCGATCCTCAACATCAACGCAAAGCTTCATAAATATAACAGGAGTGGGGGTTGGGGCGGTTTGATTAGGAATCCGCGGCAGCCAAGTAGTGATATTCTCTCCATATAAAAGACTTCCCTAGAATAGGATTTCTCTGTTGGCCGCAATAAACGTCCCAGCAGCCCATCTGAAATAAATGTCCATTTCTGTACGATTCGCATTTTGTGTAAAATACGGCAATTTCAGATCATCCTCTCAGCCTCAATCCAATATTAAGACCGTGTGATTCCCAGCAGTGAAGGATTTTCAATTCTCATCAATAGAGCTAATTAAACCACAACATTAGGATTAGTCTCCTCAATTGCCGCCTTGGGGGGGTGGGGTGGGGGGGTAAATTGGGGGGAATCCACTTAAAAATTAACTTTGGAGATCATAGAAAAAAAACTGTCCTTTTGTACAGACCGGTTCTCAGTTCTTTAGGACGCGGACGGATGTAAATCAGGTGGTTTCCTGCCAGTCTGCAGCATTCCTGTCGTACCGCTGCCTCCAAAAGTGGTAAAGAAGTTCCCTGTGTGACCTACTCCACATCCCAGCATCACCTTGCATAGCTCGGGCCGGCGGATGACCGTGTGACCTCAGCATAGATGGATGATTGCCTTGTTGATCTCAGGGTTGGCCCAGTCATGCCGCAGGTCGTCCAGATGGCCATCGAAATCCACCAGAGTCTCGTAGGATCTGCTGTCCATGAGAGAGGCGGTGATCCTCTGAGCTTCCGGCCAGTCCTCAAACACATCCCTGAGCAAGTAGGGGAGAAGGAAGAAAAAAAAACAAAAAAAAAAAAAAAAAAAAAACACATTTTGAACAGGTTGTAAATGGGAGACACTCACTATATTGGGGGTGCGATACAGACAATGCAATCACAGTGCAGCGTGGGGGGGGGGGGGGGGTTGTGTCGTCAATACTCACTCATGTGGATCTTTAGCTTTCCACCGGTTGTCGTGATGCTCATACACATTGATTGAAGGGACTAGAGATTCCACTGTGAACTTTGCATTGTCCACCTACCAAGGAAAAAAAAAAAAAAAAAAAAAAAAAGATTTAAAAAAAGTGAGATGGGGACGGATCCAAATCCTTGTATAGACCGTGATCTCCACTTACTTCTGGATAAGACAACATGCAACTGCCCTGCTGCCTTCTGAACATAGGAGGTCGAACACTCAGCATGGACACCCTACACAGATTGCTTTGCATTTTCTGAGTGAATGGAAGGTGCTTTAATTTTTTTTTTTTTTTTTTTTTTTTTTTTAAAATAGCGCCCTGTATTCCAGAGTAAACTGGAAGTGATGTCAGGTCATTGCTGCTGGTTTACTATTTAAATGGAGCTGAACAAAGCCAATCCGGCGGCAGCGCTGGACGGTCAATTAGGACTCACCCACTGGGAGCTCCTATTAAAGCTGCAGAAGATGGTGGGAGGACTTCCCCATCTCACGGCTTGTAATAGCAATTGAGTGGCTAGTTATCCACCGATTGCCATTACAAGAAAGCTGACCGCTGGCTCTAAAGGACTGTACGGGGGCATCATCCCTGCTCAAAACTCCAGCAACATATGGGGACATTGCTGAAGTGCTCAAAAAAAAACAAAAAAAAAAAAAAATGTCACCCAGGGGAATTTTTGGGTACCATAGTTTGTGATACAACAGATGCATGCAATTGTTAGGATTGACGCCACGCACTTTTATATTGAGAAAAATAAAATATGGGTATTGTGTGCAATTGTACTAAAATTCATTTTGTTACACTGTATTTCACAAATCATGCAAAAAAAAAAAAAAAGCAAAAAAAAAAAAATTAGGACACTCTTTCAGGGTATGTCTTTTTTTTTTTTTTTTTCTTTTTTTTTTTAAGTCCGAACGTGCGGAAAAACCCGTAAGTGTTCACAGAAAACATGCAAGTGCAAAACACCACACAAAAAAGTGCACTTAGGGGTGTGCTTTGTCCTTCTGCCGAAGGGAATGGACCTCTACCCTGATCCCTCAGGGTGCGAAGCTCCTGACAGGGACAAGGTTCCCATGTGGTCCGCCTAGCCAAAAGGTCTGGTGGACCCCGTTCTTTGTGACCAGCAAAAGCCAGCCACTCAGTACTTGGTAAGGGGGTTCTCCCGAAGAGAAAACCCCCTAGGGATCAGGGGAGGAAGGAACCAAAAGGCCACACATCCTCCCCCTAGACTTCAGGGTAGGCCCGAGGACCCACACCCTCCATCCTGTGAGAAAAACACACAAAAGTAAGAAAAAAAAACTGACAATACGTGGGAGTGAAATAAATTAAATAGAAAATAAAAAAGTGGTCGTGCCAAATAGTGCACAGACCAGGCCCTGAGGCCTATAGCAAAAATTGCCCTGGTCCTAGCCAGAAGGCCTGGTCCTAAGGGCGCTGTGCAGAAAAAGTTGAACACAGTGACCATGTGCCATCTTCACACAGTGGGGTCCCACACCCAGGTGTTACTAGTGGCACCCCTGAGGTGACTACTCAGGGGCACTGGTTTGCGGACTCTCTGCCTTCCCCCGACCCCTGGCCAGACAAGGTAGATCCGTCCAAATCAGGAGGTACTGGGTCCTTCTGGTCTCCTCGGGGGAATTACTACCAGGCCCCAGCTACGTGTTGGAGTCCCGGTTTCTGCCCCCCCCCGGTACTAGCTGTCCAGACCCCCATCATACCAGTGAGGGTACTATACAACAGTCATCCCCGCAAAGCTAGAATGGCCGGGAGCACCCCCACTGGACACTGATAAGGACAGATACTACACTTGATCTTAGCCAAAAGGCCGAAAGCTTGTCCTAAGGCCCCATGTACACGGGATGTTTATGAACGATGGAAACTGCTGGAAAATGTAGGTAAAAAAAAAAAAAAAAAAATGTCTGTTTAGCAGAGTTTGCATAATCATTTATGCACATTTGCATTTAGAAGAGTTTTTTAAAAGTCAGCACAAAGGAACCTCCCAAATGCCCAGAAAAGCACCAAATTATTAACTATTTCAGAGAAACACACAGTAGGAGAGAGCAATCTGTTGAGATAATTAGGTGTGAGTTGCTCATTAACATATCTTTTGTTTCCAAGGATGGGAGAGGTGTGAGGTGTGAATGGTCATTAAAATGTGTGACAAGCCTGGTAGGAACATCCTGTGTTCAGTGTTTTGTCCATCTGAGTACCTTGAAAACTGTTCACATGCATTTTTCATGATGAAAGGCTCTGGACAGCATTGAGAACTGGAAGAGTTAAAAGAAATTTCAGAACGCAAACGCTTATAAAATGCGATTTGCCGCTTTTACAAGTGTTTTGCATTTATTTGAAACGCTGATAAAAATTGACGTCTGAATGAAAGTTTGTTGCGTTTAAAAACCACGATTAAACTCAACTGCATGTAAACGAGGATGTGTACATGGACACATAGGAAAAAACATTAGGCAGAGTTCAGGGGCTGCTGAACACAAAGCCAAAAAAACAAGAACACACACATTGAACAGCTCCTAAATGTGAGTTTAGCAGCTGTGGTGTACCTGAGCCCTAAAAATTGTATGTTAGTGTGTAAATATACACACGTTTGTCACAAGTGCACTAATACAGCTACAATCACCTCAAAAAAAAAAAAAAAAAAAAAAAGAAGTTAGGAGAACCTGTTCTACAAATAAATATGCAAGACCCCCCCAATCACAGCATCCCACAATGCAATTCATGTGCCTTAGTGGCCAATAGGCATGTACATAAACTGGGGGTAGTGAAAGATTTGTGATAGAGGATTTCAGTACCATTATCAGACCAGCATCGCTGTAGGTCTCTGCGATCCGGGTGGCGATTCTCTCTGCGACCTGGTTAGGACTGAAACACAAAGTTAACCACTTATTTCCGTGGTACAAAAAAAAAAAAAAAAAATGAAAATGTGGACAATGTTTTATAAAAGGCAGAATGTGGGGAGGGTAAAAGATGGCAGAGCTGAATCTGGAAACACTACATAGAAAGTGATCTGATCTCACGTGTTATCTTTGAGGCGTTCGTTGCCTTGGTAGTACCCAGCGATCACATAACCGTTCTCATTGCACCAAGTATCAATCTACAAATAAGAAAACAGATCATCAATAAGGAAGGATCTCGAGGATCATTTTAAGTCTGACCTCCGGCCTTCCCTTCAGTCTCGCACAGTTGTACTGACTCCCCTCCCGGACTGAAATGGCTTACTCTGATTTCACTGCACACTGTGAGCTTCTACTAACAATGTGCATTAGAAGCTGCAGCAAGTCAAGTCAGAGCCTGTAGTTTCCTGGCTGGAGGACATCCAGCATCATCTAGCATGTTTCCTCCCCCCCAGCCTGACTGGGCCAGACCCAACCTGTTCATTCATTGGATTTTAGTGCTTTCAATCAGGGCCTCAGCATGACATGGGTGGGGCGCATGGAAATACAGCCAGCCCAGGAACACCCACTCATCAATGCATTTTGATATTTGCACAACTCCTCCCTTTGCAGGGAGGTGTTCAGGAAGCTATGTGCAGCATTCCACCAACCCTTCCCACCAGTAATTATTTGCTTGCAATGCACAGAGAACCACAGAGACCCAGTGATAACTGGATCTAAAATAAGTGATGTAAAGAAAACAAACAGGTTTTAAAAAAAATGTTATGTTGAGGGAGCAACCAGGGAGGCCAGATTAAACATCGGCCTAAAAAAAAAAAAAAAAAAAAAAAAAAAAAAAAAAAAAAACACAAAAATCACATCTCTCAGATCCAGGGATACCAAGGAACTCCACAATTGTAACAGTACTTCTGTTTCTTTTCTTTATTCCCCAGACATTAATACCTGTCAGCACAGCCCCCTGTTTACATCCAGCGTGTCTGTACAGCCCCCTCTACATCTCACCCCTGTGATTCAATGTCTCCTGCCAGGAACTAGATTATGGTTTATATGCTGCACCGCACTTGTATAATCAGTAGAGCTCACAAGCTGCTGGAAGCAGGCAGGCCCTGTATACACTCAGCCACTTTATTAGGTCCACCTTGCTAGTACTTGATTGGACCTCCTCCTGCCTTCAGAACTGCCTTAATTCTTCATGACAGATTCAACAAGGTGTTGGAAACATTCCTCAGAGTTTGGCCCATATTGACAAGACAGAATGACAGTTGCTGCAGATTTGTCAGTTGCACATCCATGATGTGAATCCACCACATCCCAAAGGTGCTCTATTGGACTGAGATCTGGCATCTGGAGGCCATTGGAGTACAGAGACCTCATTGTCATGTTCAAGAAACAGTTTGAGATGATTTGAGCTTTGTGACATGGAGCATTATCCTGCTAGAAGGAACCATCAGAAGATGGGGACACATTTACCACAAGGCAAACAAAGCACTTGCCTAGGGTGACATTTTTCAATGGGGCAGCACCTCCCCCCCTAAAGAAGGGATGAAAGGAGAGAAACGCACACCATGGGAACAAGGTGGGATCAGAGACAGGATGTTTGATGTTGTAGTGGAAGGCAGGGGTGTTGGTCAAAGTCAGGCTCTCTGCAGGAGGGAAGGGGGGTTGTATTGGTTAGTGTAAGATGGATTTTGGTGTGAGACAACCCTGGCAGAGGACCAGCAGGATGAAGGATACCATTTATCTGGAGGTATGTGGAGAAAGCTGCGTTTTCTTTATAACAACATTTCTGGTCCAATAATGAGAATTCAGTTGAATTATTTTTAGGGTTCAGGACTATTTTTCTAGAAGGTTCTGTTGATGTTAAGTGATGTTTTCTGTGAAAGACTGTTGGCAACAAGGTGCTACCTCTTCCAGTTCCAGGCAAAGCTAGTCACCGTACACATGTACAATCCTTTTATTTCTCAACAGGAAATTGAATCCTCTTTATAAATTTGGGGACAAGGTCATTTTTTTTTTCCCAAAGGGAATGCTGTGAATTCCTTGGGCGTATGGAAGAGAAAGACAACCCAGTTAATTTTAGAAGAGACCCTGATTGTTACAGCGGTGTGAAGAGACCTCCAGAGCAGAGGTTTTGTTTTTTGCTGGCATGCCAGCTTTTTAAAAAAAAATTTAAAGGAATATGGCCATGAAGAGGGAGATTGCAGGAGACGTCTGCAGTGTGAAGGAGTCCCACACACAAAGAGGAATTGGCCAAAGAAAAATGCCTGCAAGAGGAGAAACAGAGAAAAGTTTGAATAGAGAACAAACAGGAGGAACCACGGGAGAACCCCCAAGAAAGTGCAGTAGTGGTGGAGAATCAGGAGGGTGAAATGCCAAGTGGTGGTGGAGAGGAGAAAGGGGGTGGTAAGGAGAAAGTTCTCGTATGCATAGGGAGCCCATTTCCTATTAGGAGGTTGTGTGGCTGTGCGATCCCACTAGATATGTTCCTAGCTCTTGTATGTACAGGGAGCTTATTTCCTGGTAGTAGGCTGTGCGGGTTAGTAAGGGCGATGGTTCCCTTTTCCAATATGGCGATCGGAGTATCGTCATTCAGTGGAGGAGCTGTATTTATTGTGGCCAGGTGTCAGGACGTCTCTCTCTCTTATGACTAAGTCCCGGATGTGACGAAACGCGTCAAGAGGAAGTGACGTTATACGCAAGGAGCAGGAACCGGAAGTGTCACAGCGGCCATCTTTGTTGAGGAATCACTGGACACTCGAGTGTGGACTGCCTGGGAAACTGTGGGAACTGCCTGGTATCCCCACTTAGTGGGGTTTGTCCAAAATTGTTTATATTACTTATGTTTTCAACTCCAAATGCAAGTGGATTTATTAAAACTTTAAACATATATGGAGGTACGTCATGCTTCATAGATCTATGTATGTGGAAGGCATGGTAATATCATCTTAACAGAAAGCGAAGGAGGAGAGGAGGATAAAGTTCCTTTGGAGGATTTCCAGATAATATATACAAAAGGCGTGAGTTCTATCTACTGTTGGTAAGGGTATATTGGCCTTACTCACTAGAAGTGTCACGTGTGGGTAGGAATCTCACTAAGTGGATCACTTCATGATTTTATAATTTATGAGCACGAGTGTTTTATTACCTTTCCTTTTTGGAAGGTTTTCACAATTGTTTAATATATATTTTTTTCACTTCAAGATTGCACAATTTTATGATACACATTTGTGTGTGCATGTATTATATATATATATATATATATATATATATATATATATATATATATATATATATATATAATTTTTTATTTTTTTTTTTTTGATATTATGGTAATGCACTATTGTGAGTTTCTTTATTTTTGAGGTTTTTCACAACAATCAACACTGCAAGAAATACACTTTTTGAATTTTACTATTTTTTTTCTTCTTTACTGAGACACTGGACTTTATATTATTGGATTTAAATCACAGAGACACTGGACTTTATGATTTTGTAGAAATTATATGGGGAAAATTTTGTTGTTGCACATATAGCTGGATTATTTATTGAAAGAGGGTAGATTCCTGTTTGGATCTATTGATTTGAGTTTAAGCTTTCAGGGGGTTGAAAGTTTTTAACAATTTGGAATCAGTGTAGGTGAAAGGGTGTTTTCTGTTTTCACATTATATTTATATCATTTTCACATTATATTTATAAGGAGAAAGGGGGTATATTAAAAAAAAAAAAAAAAAAAAAAGAAGCTAGTGGAGGTGGTAGATGAGGTGGAAAGACAAGACATGTGTGTGATAGTGGAATAGTCACCATTACAGACAGAGCCACTAGTACAGGAGGAAGATCTTCCTTGTGCTCACCAGGATATGCAAGTTGAAGTGAAATCTTTGAAAAGAAGCCAAGAAGGTGAAAGGAGGTGAAAGTGAGGAAAGTAAGGCAAAAGAAGAAAAAGAAAAAAAAAAAAAAAAAAAGAAGGAGCGGGGGGCTGGTGAAAAGGAGATTCTTGGGGACATTTCTTCAAGTGAGGATGAGGGCTGGGGGGGTTGTTTAGCCCTATACCCTGTAAACTGAGAAAATTATACAAGTAATATCTTTAAACGTGAGGAGGAGCCCAAAGAGAAAGGCAGCTCTTTACGAATTTTTGGAAGATCAGAAAAGTGCATTGATTTTTCTACATAATTTAGAGAAAAGGACAAGCTATGAAACAAGCATATAAAGAAATTCTGAAAAGGAAATTACAATAAATATGTTGGGGTCGGTATCTTGACGATAGATTGGGATATTCTGGATGTTGAGGAACTCTACCCCGGGAAGATTATTAAAGGTCATAATACAAAAAGGGATCTGAAAATGAAAGCATTCTGTGGACGCGTCAAATGTCAAGGAAGAAAGGAATTGAGATCTTGCAGCTGTTCTTGTCGGGGACCAATCCGGTGATAGTTGGAGGAGACTTCAATTGTTGTTTGGCAGGGAATAGGGATAGGCTCAGCGTGGAAATGGAGATATACATACAGAATGGGGGGGGGGGGGGGAAAAAAAAAAAAAAAAAAAAAAAAAAAAAAAAAAAAAAAAAAAAAAGGGACTTTGATTATATTCTAGCCTGGTGGGATAGAGGGAAGAAGATCTTCCAGGACTTCTTTATATGGAAGAGCAAAGAGAATGCGAGAAGGAAACGGCATTTGTATGAAAGACTAAATGCAAGGCTACAAGTGATGCTTCATTCAACAGAAGGGATATGAAAGAGAAAATTGAAGAAACCAGACAAGAAATTAGAGTTCTTAGTGAAAGTGGGAAAAACATTTAATTCAAGAGTCAGATTTAGAAGATGAGAAATGTAAAAAAAACTTTCAAGAAAATAGTCAAAAAGCAGGAGATAGTCAGGACTGAAGGTGAAACCAGAATAGAAGTTGGGAAAGGTGAAAGCTTTTTATGATGATCTATTTTCAAGAAAGCAGGTTAATAGTCTGAGAGACATAGAAAAAGCTCTGAACTCAGCAGAGCAGACCTGCTAATATTCAAGTTCAGTATGGAAGAAAAATGTTTCCACTATCCAAAGAGTCTCTCGTTTAAAGACGCCTGGAAGGGATGGCTTACCAATCGAGTTTTGTAAATTTTTCTGGCACATTATGAAAGAGGATTTCATGGAGATTAGGAAAATAGCAAAAATCCCAGTACTTCAGCATTATTTTTTTTTTTTTTAATACTTAGACCAGCCCATCTGAGCATCAGAATGGGGAAGAAACAGGATTTAAGCAACTTTGAATGTGGCATGGTTGTTGATGCCAGTATGAATGTCAGAAAGTCATCTTTACCACATCTAGATGCTTAAATACATGGAAAAAAAAAAAAAAAAAAGTACAGGTACTAAATATATCATTCTCACATCTGAAAAAGAATTTCAGTCCAGGAAGTAGGTAGATGAGGTATATGAAAGGTGGAGCCACCAAGATGTACAGCTACAAGTGAAGCTTCGTTTTTCAACGGAAGCGATAGATATGAAATGCAGATGAAAGCATTTTTCAAGGGGTACTGTGATCTGAGGTAATATCTGACCTGTTAGGACAAATCACTTATTAAAGTGGACCTGTCATCAGACATATGTAACAGTAAGTTTAGAGGGAAGGTGGAAGATTCTCACCAGGGTTAAAGCCACCTCCAGCACCGCGGACAGTGCTATGGTACCATGGAAGAGCGGAATGCAGTCCACAAACAGGACCTGGTGTTGGTTCTCTCTGCGCCGTTGCTTCTCAGCCACCAGAATGCCGTTCACAGCACAGGCCGGGTGCTTGGCACCGTGCAGCATCATTTTACAGTAGGCTTGTGTCGTCAACTTGAAGTGCGGCATTTTCTGTAGAAGAGAAGGAAGAAAAGTCTTTGTGAGTGTGCTGGTGATAACAGATGACATGAAAGATGTGGAGAAAAGGGGTCAGGTGAGGGGTGACAAGGTCAGGTGAGGGGTGACAAGGTCAGGTGAGGGGTGACAAGGTCAGGTGAGGGGTGACAAGGTCAGGTGAGGGGTGACAAGGTCAGGTGAGGGGTGACAAGGTCAGGTGAGGGGTGACAAGGTCAGGTGATACCACATGACATGAGGGGTGATACTGAGGGAAGCTACAGGTGATTTCAGTGGAGGGAGAGGACAATGAGGGAAGTGATGAATGATATCAGAAAACGGGTGTGCCGACAGGTGACAAGAGGGGCGATACTGAGGAAAATTGACAAGTGATACCAGGGAGGGGAGATATGGGTGATACCAGATGACATGAATGGCAAAAGGTGGGGAAAGGGGGTGAAGTAATTGGTCATAACAGGGAGGGAAGAATGGGAGATGAAAGAGGATATGGGTGTGGGGGGGAGATGAGTGATAGAAGATGAGGGAAACGGATACAAGATAACATGATATGCGGGGAAAGGACAGCAGAAATCAGGGGAGGTGACAGGTGATATTAGGAGGTGATGGTTGAGGGGCTATATGATGCATGACACCAGGTGACATTAATGATGACATGTGGGTGATGTTATTGGTGATATCGGGGAGATGAAAAATGATAGGGGGGGGGGCGGGCAATAAGATGAGTGATCCCATAAGATGGAGAGCTGACAGGCACTAAAGAAGACTTGACAGGTGATATGTGGGGAAAGGGGACAGGTGAAGTTGGGAGGAGCTAAAGGGATGGCTGACAGAGAATATGACACATGAACACATAATGGTGGGAATGAGATGAAGGGACAACTGATATCCAGGGAAGGGGGGGGGGTGTTATGGCTGCTGACAGATGACATGACAAGTGATGTGAGGATAGGGGACAACAGGGAGGAGATTAGGGGAAAGATGATAGCCGAGGTGTGATATGACAGGTGATGAGTAGTATCAGGGGTGGGGTGAGAAGGGGAAGGGGTTACTGGTGGGTGATACAACAGCTGATATGAGGTAGGCAACAGGTGATATCAGGTGAGGTGTGATGAGTGGTATTGGGACTTGGGGATGGAATTGAAGGATGGGTGATAGAGGGAGGTGTTGAGTAGGATCAGTAGGGAGGGGATGGATGATATCTGGTGAGGAGTGACTGAGGGAGATAGGTGACAGATGATATTTCCAGTAATATGGCGAGGTGATGAGTGCTATCAGGTGATGGGTGATATGAAAGGAGATTAATAGTATCAGTGGGCAGGGAGTGACAGATGATATAGGGGGTGGGGGAGGGGGGGGGTGAATGACATGACAAGTGATGAGTAGTATTAGGGGTGAGGTGAGATGTGAGGTGGGGTATATAGTTCGATTATGGCTGATATTCCCAGTAATATGGGGAGGTGATGACTGGTACCAGCAGGTGGGGCTATAAGGTGAGGTGACTGGGGGAAGGGTGATATCACAGGTGCTTTGGGGTGATAGATGATATCAAGTGAGAGGCAATATGGGGGTAGGTGATGGGTGACATGTAAGGGGTGATAGGACAGATGACATGAATGGGGAAGGGGACAGGTGAGATCACATGAGGGGTGATATGACAGATACAGGAGAGGTGATAAGTTGCATTGGGAAAAGGGGAGGTGACATCATGGGAGGTGATATGACAGATGATATCTGCTGAGGGATGATATGGCCGATAATAAATAGGACAATAGAGGCTATTAGGGAGGTTTAGTGACATGAGAGTTGAATCAGGTAGGGGGTGGGGTGAGGAGGAGACATATCAGGTGAGGGGGTCATGATATGACAGGTGAGGTGATATGGGAGGGGACAGACGGTATCAGGTGAGGGCTGACATGATTGATATGGAGGGAGGTGACCAGTCATAGGTGAGGGATGATTTGGTAGATATGGGGGAGATGACAGATGATACAGGGGAGTTGAAAGATGGTGTCACATGAGGGGTGACATGATTGATGATACAGGGGAGGTGACATGGCAGAGGATAGGGGGGAGATGACATGTGATATCAGGCAAGGGATAACATGGTAGAGGATATGAGCAAAGTGACAGATGATAGAGGGGAGGTGAGATCAAGTGATGGATGATATGGGGGAGGAGACAGATGGCAGATGATAGGAGGGAGGTGACAGGTGATGATACCAGGTGAGGGGTGATATGACAGATGGTATGATGATATCAAGTGAGAGATGATATGGTGGTGACAGATGATAAAAAGGCCAATAGATGCCATCAGGGAGGTTTGGTGGGGGAGATGACAGATGATATGGGGGAGGGAAGCACTCACTGAAGATTCTGATTGGGAGATAACGGTGATAGAAGTCTCCCCCGGTAGGTCATTATCCCCGGTGGACACGACAATTGCTCTCAGTGGCGCCCTCCCCGGTGTCCCCGCTTCCTCTCGCACACTCACCTCAGTTCTCTACGAATCTCCCGGCAGCCTCTACCACGCACAGCCGTACAGCGAACCGCCTGCCGTCGCAATTGCTTCTTAAAGACAGGCGCGCTAGGCACGTGACGCGCAGCTGGTTCCTTCGCCCGCCATATTGACTGAGGGCAAGCTGACCGGAGGCGCTTCCAAACAGCAAGTTGCCGATGTATGGAATAGACACGTCCCCACACCCCCATATTTGTATATAGGGACAGAAAGATATATCACCCACATCTGTCACGTCACCTTCAAGGGCGAACCCAGCAGCTGTGGGCGGACCTCTAGGCTGAGGGGGCGGAGCCTCCGAGTTTAGCGAGAAAGGTAGAAAGTCCACGAGATGGGCGTGTAGCGATCAGGCCGTATACAGCTCAGTTCCTCCAGCGAGCCGGAAGTGGGTTGGGCTTCCTCTCTAGCCTGCCCTCGTTCTCTTTTTGTTCCGGTGTCCTCTCTGCTCTTGTCAGGCGGCTGCTGGAGAGGTGAGTGGGAGTAGAATGGGGGCTGAGCGGGTGAGGAGAGCCTCCTGTACCTAGAGCATGGCTCCTTGTGTGCCCTGTACAGCCGGGAGAGGTCTGCCTTCCTCACTAGAGTGTTTCCTTCTGTAAGTATCGCCAACATATACCGCAGTGCTGTACAGAGGACACTGAGCCAGTCTGCACCAGAGGAGCTGACACTCAAATCCCCCCCACAGTCACACACTATTATTATACAGTTATATAGCTCTGACATATACCGCAGTGCTGTACAGAGAACATTGAGCCAGTCACATCAGTCTGCACCAGAGGAGCTTACACTCTAATGTCCCCCCCACAGTCACACACTATTATTATACATTTATATAGCTCTGACATATACCGCAGTGCTGTACAGAGAACACTGAGCCATCAGTCTCTGCACCAGAGGAGCTTACACTCTAATGTCCTCGACCCTCTGGCCTCATTTTTGAACAATTCCCATTTACTACCCTACCAGGCCAAATCTGACACTTCAATATATAAAGATCAGCACTTCGTTTGGCTAAAAGATACTTACCCCCCCCCCCCCACAAACGTTACTGTATATACAGTCATGGCCGAAATTGTTGGCACCCTTGATATTTTTCCTGAAAATCAAGTATTTCACACAAAAAAGGTATTGCATTAACACATGTTTTGCTATACACATGTTTATTCCCTTTGTATGTATTGGAACAAATATAAAACAGAGGCAGAAAAGCAAATATGACATAATGTCACACAAAACCCCAAAAATGGGCTGGACAAAAGTATTGGCACCCTTAACTTAATATTTGGTTGCACACCCTTTGGAAAACATAACTGAAATCAGTCGCTTCCTATAACCATCAATAAGCTTCTGACACCTCTCACCCGGAATTTTGGACCACTCTTCCTTTGCAAACAGCTCCAGGTCTCTCTTATTGGAAGGACACCTTTTCCCAACAGCAATTTTAAGATCTCTCCACAGGTGTTCAATGGGATTTAGATCTGGGCTCATTGCTGGCCACTTCAGAACTCTCCAGCGCTTCTTTGCCATCCATTTCTGAGTGCTTTTTGACGTATGTTTGGGGTCATTGTCCTGCTGGAAGACCCAGGATCTTGGACGCAAACCCAGCTTTCTGACACTGGGCCCTACAGTGCGACCCAAAATCCTTTGGTAATCCTCAGATTTCATGATGCCTTGCACACAGTCAAGGCACCCAGTGCCAGAGGCAGCAAAACAACCCCAAAACATCATTGAACCTCCACCATATTTTACCGTAGGTACTGTGTTTTGTTCTTTGTAGGCCTCATTCCGTTTTCGGTAAACAGTAGAATGATGTGCTTTACCGAAAAGCTCTATCTTGGTCTCATCTGTCCACAAGACGTTTTCCCAGAAGGCTTTTGGCTTACTCAAGTACATTTTGGCAAACTGTAGTCTTGCTTTTTTATGTCTCTGTGTCAGCAGTGGGGTCCTCCTGGGTCTCCTGCCATAGCGTTTCATTTCATTTAAATGTCGACGGATAGTTCGCGCTGACACTGATGCTCCCTGAGCCTGCAGGACAGCTTGAATGTCTTTGGAACATGTTTGGGGCTGCTTATCCACCATCCGGACTATTCTGCGTTGCAATCTTTCATCAATTTTCCTCATCCGTCCACGACCAGGGAGATTAGCTACAGTGCCATGGGTTGCAAACTTCTTGATAATGTTGCGCACTGTGGACAAAGGCAAATCTAGTTCTCTGGAGATGGACTTGTAACCTTGAGATTGTTGATATTTTGCCACAATTTTGGTTCTCAGGTCCTCAGACAGTTCTCGTCTCCTCTTTCTGTTGTCCATGCTTAGTGTGGCACAGACAGACACACAATGCAAAGGTTAAGTGAACGTCTCTCCTTTTTATCTGCTTTCAGGTGTGATTTCTATATTGCCCACACCTGTTACTTGCCCCAGGTGAGTTTACAGGAGCATCACATGCTTGTAACATTCTTATTTATCCGCAGTTGTGAAAGGG